ACAGATTTATACTCGTCCAGCGTACAAAAACCAAAAAACCCCGATAAAGAACGAAGAATATTAAATTTAAGATCTGAAACACTACAAGAAATTATTGATGAGGAAATTAAAAATGCTGTAAAACAGATGAAAAATGGAAAAGATTGTGGAAACGATGAAATAACGAAAGAGATGATTACAGCTGGAAGTCAAACTATTTTGGAGGCAGTTAAACTCCTAATGAAGAAGTGTCATCTTTGAGGGTGCGATTCCAACCTCTTGGCAAACTAGTCTTCCTTACTTGGTATTGCATAGGTCTCAGTCCATCCTGTAAAATAATCCATAGCTACCAGCATATATTTATTTCCATCATCTGTTTCTGGAAATGGACCCGCAATGTCGATTGCTACTTTTTCCATAGTACTACCAACATTATACTCTTTCACCGATGCCCTCGTTTTACTAATTGGACTATTATTGGTTGCACACAGTATGGTAAATAACGTCGTAATGGTAAATAACGTGGTTGGTAAATTAAATGACCATTTATTTGGAACACAACAGTACACTTTTACATAACATTACTTATTCTAATCGTAGTTCGTACTTATGTGAAGTTGATATGAGACTCTCTCATAATTATCAATACGCGATACATTAACTTGCCATCTTGACGTTAAAGTAGTTCTGATCCCCGAGATAATGATTGTTGTCTCTTTTATAATAGACCTTGCATATATCAACAAATTCAGATTTCCGGAACCATCTTCTTACATCCTCTTTACAGTTCAACCAATAGAACCGTTCTCCAACCTTTGCAGTCTCTGCAGTCCTCGTAATAGCAAAGTGTCCACGTGATGCACCCTCATGCAACTGACGCAATACTTCCGACACTATATTTTTAGGTACAATCAACTGCAGCTTAGATTATTGTCTTCTCACCTCATCGCATCCAATCCAATGCTCTTTTTATACCTGGGTCATCTGCTTGGGCGTCATGTATCTGTTAAAACTGCCATAGATCAATAATGACGGTGATTCGTCTCACGGGGCAAAGTCGTTTCTCTAATTTACGATAGTATTTCTAATTTACGATTCTAGATTAGAGATTATAAAATCTCTAATTTACGATAACAACTTGCACGGCATGGCCGTATTGATAGAGCACCAGCATCTGAATGAACTTTTCCAGTCTAGTGTTAGATCTGTTCTAGGTTTTTGTCTGTTGTATTATTTTCTTGCAGTTTACGGCGAATGTAACCTACGTCGCCACCATTTCAACATCTGGGCTCGCGTCTCTTCGGCATCGTGTTACGCACTTTCAAATTTTTCGTCGAATTTTCTAGAAACATTTTCGAATCTATTGTCATTCTTTCCAGATGTTTCCTCAATCGTTGGAGAAACATTTTTAAATTTCTCGATAAATCTTCTAGAAACATTTTCGAATCTTTCATAATTATTTCTAGAAGTTTATTAGATCTTCGTTAAATTTGCTTCTTCTGCTGATTGAAAATGAAAGGTATTTGGATCATTTCCATTCTTGTTGAGAAGATTCTTTAGTCGTTCTTAAAAGATCTACTTGGACCCGCTCTTCTAGTTGTTGACGTAATTGTTTTACTGGCAGTTCTGCAAGCCGCATCTTTGATCAGGCACACACGTACTTTTCTTCAAAAGTCACTGTTTAATTCATTTTTAACTTAATAAATTACCTCACACTCTAACACCACTGTAGAGTGTTTAAATAAAACCAGCGGTTCTAATTTATATATAAATATTTGTTTTTAATCGTCAATTGTCATCCAAGATTTGCCGATGACATATTACTAGTAAGCAACAATACGGATGAACTACTCTGAACGTTAAAGGAACTCAAACGAGGATTTTGGAAGATCGGTTTAAACCCGATTTTAAATAAAACAACGTAATGACAAATGAAAATATGACAGAATGCTTGTATGTAATTCAGAAAAAAAATGTCGAAGAGTATATATACCTAAGTCACATGATCAAACTAGGCAAACAGAATCAAACGGCAGATATAACTAAAAGAATTCGAATAACTTGGTCAGCAGTAAGAAGACTCAGTGTTGTGTTAAAAAACAAAAAGGAACCAATACATTTTAAGAAATAGTCATTAAACAGTTGTATCCTACACACCTATGCAATGGAGACCATGGCAATTATTTATCAGGTAATAGTTTAAGAACAACACAGAGGGTCATCGGACTAGCTACGTTAGAAGTTTCTCTGCGAGAACATATACGAAACGAGGACGTGTGAAGTAGGACTTGTGCAAATAAAGTGGATCTGGGTAGGACACACAAGCACGACAGGATAACGAGATGTGGACGAGAAATATTGTACATTAGAGGCCATGAGAACACAGTCGTAGAAAGACCACATAAACGGTGCCTAGATGACATCAAAGCCATCGCAAGGAAAAACTGGCATCAAATAACTTAAAACAGAGAAGAGTAGAGAACTCAGATAGAGGTTTTTGTCCAGAGATGGATGCACACAGGCTAAATTAGAAGGACAGTCAAGTAAACGTCGTAGTTACAATATTTAGACAATGATTTATGTCTGACTGTCACTTTTTTGGTATCAAATTTATAAACTCAAGCATTTTTTTTGTATTTGAAAGTTTATATTGATATTTTCCTTTGAGTCTATGATTAAGTAAAAAGTAGTGAAAAAGTTTTTCTATTATCGTCATCAACAAACGCTAATTGCCTGACAATTTATACAAAAACTAGACTATGGATGGTATGTGGCGTCAAAAGGAATGCAATTATTCACTCTACAAATGACTAGCCGTTGGAATATTGATTGTTACAAACTGTAATTAATTCTTGTTTGTTTCAGAAGATAATTAATATTTTTTACCTCCGTCTTTATATAGTATCATCCATAAAATCCTGTTTGGACAAACTTGTTGATCTGACAAGAACGTTCAATGAAGAGTGCTTCTAAAAATTCGAGTATAATTAATACCTTTTAATTTTAATTTAATAATGGAATGAAATCATAACAAAAAGTTATATTCTATTTACACATATTTTATGGCCTTTTTAATTTTTTTTGTTTCCTAGCACTAAAGGTTCGACTTGAAATTCGTGATTCGTTAAAGTAACATCTTATAGATCAATAAACACAATTTACTATCGTTAGTAATGCGATAGGAAAAAAAATCAAAACTCCATTACGACAATTGAAACAAATTAAACTAATATGCAAGTTGTAATGAATATATTCATGAGTATAAAAGGAATGGATAGTTTCATCCATGTAAAGTATGATCCGATTTTCTTCCCCATAATGTTTAATATTCCTAAGAAAATTTCTCCGAAGTACTTGTATATCAGGTTTTCCCAATAGAATTTGCCTGTTTTTCTCCACTTTTCTCCATCGAAATCCCATATCCTCCATTATTTTTTTCTCAGTTTCACGTGATCCAGTATAAAAAATGTCTTTACTAAATTTTTTTGTTATGTTTGGCAATGTATGTCCCCGTTTCTACTCCGTACAGTAGCAGTAAGTACAAGTTACATTTAAGGAGCCTTATTTTTGTTTCTGGGGTGAGGTCATGGCTCTTGAACTCAGATCTCATAGTCAAGAATTCACTTTTGCCTTTCTGATGCGGCATTTAATCTCTTGGGTATTGTCCCCACTACTCATTGATTATAGTTCCCCAGTAGTTGTACTGTGAGATACGTTCAATTCTCATTTGGTTCTCATACAGATTTGCTCTAGTTATGTTTTCCTTGCTGATGATCATTAGCTTGGTTTATTGTATCATCATACCGTAGGTTATTGAGCTTGACTCCATTTATGAGATGCTTTCATTAATATCTTTTAGAGCCTCTTCAAAAATGTTCTCTGAGTACATAATAAATATCAGTGGTGAAATTATGCCATGAGGTATAAACCTGTCAAAAATCGTCCAACGCGAATTTTGGGAAAGATTTAATTCTTTTGTTGGTAGGCCTCGATATTGATGTAGAAGCTATAATCTTCTATATTTTTCATTTCACGAGAGATCCGTTTTATAGTTCTTAAACTTACTTTATTTGTTAAAGCACGCTCCTGCACTTTTTAAAATCTTTAATAGGCTGATTTGGTACCGCTTCTCTCTGTATAAAAACAATTACATCTGCTATTCCTTCGTTTGAACGAACAAGACTGCCTTCTAATCTTGATTGAGAATCAATGTTAATAATTTAAAAACTCAAATCAATTACAATAACAGCTTCTCCAACACCGCCAAAAAAACAATATTTTTGTCGCAAACTGTACAAGCATCTGGCTTTCAGCGATCATGAAGTAATAATGATGAATTTTGCTGCTGTCCATTCTGCATCAGGGGTGTAGACTACTATCAAAAAGTCCATGTCTCAAGTCTTTTGCGAGCAGCACCCCAAGAAGAAAAACATCATATACTTTGCTGTTAAATGAGTTTAGATAACTTACAATTTTTTTAAGAGACTGGCTGAATGACGAAAGTCTAAGCCACAAAAAAAACTTGCCAAATTGTCAATGTAACTTAATTTATGCAGGAATCTTAAATTCAAAATTAGATTTTCAAAACGACTTCCGACCTGAAAGTTAAAAAGTCGATGAAATAGTACAAATCTTATTAATTTCCAATATTTATGAATTACTTAATATTTACAGCATAAGTAAATCTTTTCAAGAATCTCACACTAACCTTCGCATATTTGAAAACTTCTGAGAATTCCCATAAAATCCAGCCTGAACGATGTCTATGTGGTTTGTGCTGACCAACATGGCGGCTGTATTGTTCTACACTTGTCTCATTGTTGAAGTAGCTATAAGTTGTAAAGTGTTTCTGCGAATTATCTTAATAAAGTATGATTTCTAGATCCGAACCTGTCGCTACGCAACTTATATACTTACACAGGTGGGCGAATGTTGCTTTTCGTTTTGCTTTGCAATTCCTGTGTGGGTTTTTGGATACTTGGATACCACTCATATCTTACACTCGCCACAGAAAAGTATACGACAGTCGCCGTTCGTACATTGTGCATGTTATCTCTAGTATCGCTGTCTTGACACAATCAAACGCTTCTTAAACCTAAACAAAATCGGGAAAAGTCAGTGTTTATGTGAAAAAGTGCGCTCTACGTGATTAAATCTTAAATGTTTCGTGAGGATTACAATTAAAATATGATCGAGATGAGCATATGCACACGTAGGTTGATGATTAACATAACGATGGAAAATATTTATATCGTTTTTTGTGTAAATCCTGTTTGTGCGTAGTGAAAAAAGTAAAAGGTCTGCTTTGTGTGTGGCGCATTGCACGGCAATACCAGTTTTTAGTTGATACTTCCCTTAATATTGAAAGTATTCATTTTGTTTAATTATCTTTTATTTAAATTTATTTCAATATATGAATTATTTAAATTTAATAGTATAATAGAAATATATATAAAATTGTTTCGTGGCGACAACTTGAAAAATCCAAAAAAGAGTAAAAATCTGAATTTTTGTATTTTTTTTCAGATTTACAGAAGTAAATTCAAAATAATTTCTAAATGAAAAGTCAGTTCAATTACATTCATATGTATGACAACAATTATCTTTTATCTTTGTTTTTCAAAGAAAATTACCTATGGGTTTTCACTCTGTATTTTACAGATTGCTGTGCATTTCATTCACTTCTATCATTGGTTACACTGTTAGTCCATCTTTAACTTATTTGCACATTATTTTAATGCATATGCCTTACTTTTTGTGCGATGTACAATGTTCCAAAATATTTCTGCGGTCAGTACAATTAAAGCTAAGATTAATACCATAAAAATTACAAACAAAAGTTATTAACAAAAATTGTAGGCAGCTTTAAACTCTAAACGCTAAAAGCTTTAAACATTTTAAAATTTGTTACAATCTTACAGGGTGTTCCATAAAATGGTGGTAGACCAAACTTATGTTTTTTTAAACGGAACACCCTGTATTTTATTTTAAATTTGAAATCTGCTTCACTTTCACATCAAAAGAATGTAAAGTTTTATTATGTTATACCGGGTATTTAAAAAGTTATAACCAATAATACCCGAAAGTATAATTAAAAAGAAGTATAGGAACATTAATCTATTGTAACCATAGTTTTTAAATAATTGTTAAAAATTATAAAACATTTTCGTTTTTATAATATTCGTTAAATCAAATACAGGGTACGTCAAAATGCAAGTACATTATTTTCTTGGTAATTTTAAATAAAACACCCTGTATTTTATATCACTATCGAAAAGTACTAATATCGTACTTCACATTTTATGAAGTACCTACTCCCTATACCTAAAGTTATCAATTTTCTAGATATTTTTATTTTTCCATCAAAGTATTAATTTGGTAGATATTTTAACGTTTACCAATAATTATTGTGAGTTAGCCATGATTGATTTGTCAGTAACTGACATTTTGACATTATTGTTTATTAATTCAGTAACGAAATAACGACACAAAAAAAAACAAGTCATTTCAAATAAAATTTATAAAAAATAACCGACGGAAAATTAAAAAAAAAATAACACAGAAAAATAAAAAACAACTAATTTTAACTTATCTTACCTTATCTTATCTTATCTTAGTAAGGTGTTCAAAATGACGTCCCAAAACATCTATGCATACTTGAATACGGACATTGAAAGAGTTGCTTACATTACTAAGCATTTGTAAAGAAATATTTTGAAATGTAATTCGGATTCTATTTTTCCTATCATCCCTTGTTGTTGGAGGATTTTTGTATATACTTCGTTCTTAACGTAACCCCAAAAAAATGAGTCCCTTTTATTGAATTCTGGTGACGTACCGGTCTATAATTTCCGACCTATCTTTCACCAAACTGATCATTAAGTTCACCACGTACTAATTCGTTGTGGTGCTCAGGAGCACTGTCATGTAGAAACCACATTTTTTCACGTATATTAAGTGTAACCTCTTTTAATAATATCGGTAACTGATTTACGATAAAATCTAAATAAATCTCACCATTTAAGTTACCTTCAAAAAAATATGGTTCTACTACATGGTTACCGACGATACCTCCCCTCACATTTAGAGACCATCTTGTTTGACTATGTGTTACTATGTGGTATGGATTAGTTGTTGAATATAAGTGAAAGTTATGCCTATTAACAGAACCGTTTCGATGGAATGTAGCTTCATCACCAAATAGGACATAATCAAAAAAATCTCTATGCTCATTCATTTTTTCTAAGGCCCATTCACAAAATACTATTCGATTCTAAAAATCATCGTTATTCTTGGTACTTTTAAATATGATATGTGTGCATCTTGTATTTAGATAGAATGTTTTGAACTGAGTAGTAACTAAGTTCTTGTTCATTGGAAATAATCCTTATATTTGTGTGTGGGTTTTTTGTAACTGCCATCAACACACTCATTTCGTTTTCCTCTGTCACACTAGTTTTTGTTCGTTCATGTTTTTCATAAATCACTGAAACAGTGTGGTTAAATCGATTTTTTAATTTTTCAAATGTATCTTGTCTAGATTGCCGCCTATCTGGAAACCGTTCTTGATAAATTCTAGCTGATAGTAATGAATTTTTATTGCATTTCCCCAATATCCAGATCATATTTATCTATCATTTCCTCAGTAGTAAAATTCATTATTGCTAATTTAAATTGAATTAATTACTGAATTATTAGATAATAATTGTTGCTAATTTACGGTGTACCCTAATACTGAATTAATAAACAATAATGTCAAACTGTTAGTTTCTGACAAATCAATCATGACCAACTCACAATAATTATTGGTAAACATTAAAATATCTACTAAATTAATACTTTGATGGAAAAATAAAAATATCTAGAAAACTGATAACTTTAGGTATAGAGAGTACTTCATAAAATTTGAAGTACGATATTAGTACTTTTTGGTAGTGATATAAAATAGGGGGTGTTCTATATAAAATTATCAAGAAAATAATGTACTTGCATTTTGACTTACCCTGTATTTGATTTAACGAATATTATAAAAACTAACATATTTTATAATTTTGGTTAGTTAAACTTGATACGATTTTCAGGTAATATTGTTATAACTTTTTAAATACCCGGTATAACATAATAAAACTTTACATTGTTGTGATGTGGAAGTGAATTTTCTTCCATATCTGCTTAAAAATTTTACTAGTTAGTTAGTTTTAAGACCTATATTGTGACCGCTATAATAGTTGTTTGGAATATGTTCATTCTTTAAATTCTTTAATGTCAACTGATTGTTTCGTTTTGATTTGATTTTATAAAATTTTACTGTCTGGTTGAATTTTTTAAATCAATTCAATTCTGCTCTGATTGTGTTGTTTGTCATCATCTATTGGTATTCAAAGCTGCTTTTTCTTTTAAAAGTTTTTCCTTCTGCTGTCTGTAAAACTTAACGTTTTAGAGATTCCTTTTATTATCGGTCGTCTACACATACAAATATTTTGCATCAGTAATCCTTAAGATCTATGAAATATATTATTAAATAATGTTGGTCATTGATGAGCTGATCTTTTAGTTTTCTTTTTAATCTTAAAATCGTCTGTCATTCGTAGATCAGAACTATAATAATTATTGTTAGATTATCAATGGCTAAAGAATATTTACAAAGAGAAAAAATTAAAGAAATATTATCATTAATAAACTCAACTCTCCTATACAAGAGGAGGTAGAATAATCCCTAAATATTTAATACTATTACAGAGCATATGTATTTTTGAAAAATGTAACAACTAATTTTTCTACTTTTACATTAAAACACGATATTTCGATACCCTTGTGGTATCTCAAACTGAAACTAAACACATGTAAAACAATGGCTGAGCTCTAATTAAGAAGAAATGCAGTCGTATATTTTCATTTCAACGTCTTTTATGTGCGTGAAGAGTGCAAAATATGGTGTTTTTGAAGGATAAACTGTTCATGTATTTTCGGAATAAAAGGTTATTCCTAACATCGTCCAATATCTTCCAGTAAGCTTGGAGTTGCAGTTTACTTAATTCACCATCGAAGAGAAGTCTCCTGGCTTCATAATGAAAATTAGTAATCTTAAATCTTACAAATAAAATTACTTATTGGACATATGCCTCTCCTTTCTCTCTTCCACTTTTCTCTATATAGGCTTAAGATAAAGAATACTTAAACATCTTTCGAAAAAGAGTAACATTTTCTTTTTTTAATATCAAACAAAATACAATTGTGCCGATAATAAATTTACTAGAAATTGAAAATATATTAGAGACTCTATAAATAAAAAATACGTCGGAGGACAACATATGTAAAAAGCATTTCTTTAAAAATCAGCGGCTATCCGATTCATAATTAAGTAGATTTAAATTAGTTCGGGCGCAAACAAGTAGTGACCTTATAAATCAAAGTCCACATTAGCGTACGAGTTGATGTCATCGTGTTTTTGTTGATTGATTTCGAAATATCTGTTAAGCATTAAAAAGCCTGCAATGATAAACATAAGACTGTGACAGTTACCGCCACTATCGTAGTCGAGGAATTACATCAGATATTTGCGCCACTACACAGAGACAGAATCATTTGTTCAGAAAGTTCTTCCGGGGTAGAAAGAATCATTAAAACATTTATTAATTGATTATTTTGTTATGTTAATTTTCTAGGTTAAAGAACATGTTGTTATGCAGAGGATACAGAATTTCTCTTAGTTTTATTGAATGTGCATTATAAAGATTAATTTATATTACTTATATTTAAAAAAATTAATATAAGTTTTTGTTTGACTATTAGAGCAAAAGTTAGTCTTTTTCCATATATTTTTCCGTTAGATCCTTATAAATATATGCTATAATTTGTCTATATCAGCATTTCTGTGTCTGTTAGACCTAAAGAAAGCGTTTGACAGAGTAAGACTCAAAGATGTAATCCATCTTCTCTATATTAGAGAAGTTCCCCTTAATATTATAAAAACTATCGAAAACATCTACCAAAACAACAAAATGAAAGATTAGGTGAACAATTTACAGAACCTATAGAAATAGGCAGCGGAATAAGACAAGGGGGTTCATTGAGCCTCATGCTCTTCAATTTGATCATAAATGAAATCGTCAAAAGCATTAACAGAGGAAGATGATACAGAATGGGAGACAAAGAAATAAAAATACTCTGTTATGCAGACGACGCAATATTGATAGCCCAAGATGAAGATAG